CGTGCCCATGGGATCAAGGTATCTTGGTCAACACGACAAAGCTCCCGTATTGGTTCAATGTATGTCAAGTTACAGAAGATTTGAGTGTTTTCGGTGAATTTTAAGCAGTGTGAATAGGAAACAGTTTATCAGCTGATTTGAGGTTGGAAATTCACATCTCCCGTTTGGAGTGTTGTTTTGGATTGATTCTTAAGGTTTTGAAACCGTCTCAATGTTGTCTCCAACTTTCGTGTTTGGACCAAAAGCAAAATCTTGAAGGAAGGTCTCCGAATACGTCATTCTTTTGGAAGTTATACAGTGAAAGAATACAAAGGAAAAGTGGGTTGAATCGTTATTTCGTGTGCGTTAAAAAATTCATAACTTTTGGATGGATTATTGTATGCGTGCAGTTTCAATTTCCAAAATTCTGTCTCGATGTCATCTTGATGTCGTCTTTGGAGGATAAAAGCGGATTCACAAAGGAAGGACCAGTGAATTTTGAGTTTCTAAAGACATGTTTGTGTCAAACTGGAATTCATTTGTACTAATGTTTGATACGGTAAGATTCATATCCCACTCGATCGTTATCATATTGAGTTAGGTCTGGTGGCGTTAGTTCATGAATTTCATCTACTACAACTTATCTTCAGATGCTAAAATCAAACGGTGACCCAAAGGTTCTTGTTTTTTATCTTCTTCACACGCGACGCAATAAAATTCTGCACAGTAAATTATTTTTGCTAGACACAGTGTCAGCGAAACTTCAAAAATTCCTAACTTCCTCGTCGTTTATCTGTTTATGCCCGTTCTTTCGGCAATATGTCACAGATTTGACTATCTTCATTTTTGTGTTGGAGCTTTTGTACGTATGATGGCGTGTCGGGCTCACACTTTCAAGTCAAGTTCCAATTCAATTGCACATCCAAGGCCCATGTATATAATCTCAAATCTGATTTTTTTTGTAAAGATAACTCTCATAAATCACAAATTCTTATAAACACAAAAAAAATTTCTCTCAAAGATCAAATCAAAGTTCTACAACTTTTTCATCAAGAACACAATAACTATTTCATCAAGATTTGAAAGTCAAAGATCAAGAGCAATTCTTCTCTAATCATTGATCTATTCCTTGTAATCTCTATACCTAAGCCTCCTCTTCACTTCTATCAGTGGGTTTTCTTGAATTAAACAATTTTGAAATAAGTGATTATTTGAGAAGCACTTTTTAATCAAGCATGAAACGAATCTAGGTTGAATTTGGAATTGGGAATATAGATCTAAGCCTAGAATTGTGATTTGATTTGATCATCATCTGTAAATCCGGAATTGGATAGTTGAATTAAGTGCTTATTGAATTAAATTAATTCTCATGAAAATGCTTAATTGATGAAATAAATTGATGATGTTGCATTGAGGTTTAATTGTTGATCTTAATCAAGCATGTGAAGTTTGAATCTAGACCTTAAATTATGAAAAATCTTGTGTTGAGTGTGTGGATATTTGGTGTTTGATCAATAGCCTAAGACATGAGCATAAACCTCAAAAAAGTTAGAAAAAACTACTCTTTGTCTGCGGGTAACCCGTTACCCGATTATGGTAACCGGTTACCACCCTTTCCAACAACTGAATTTTGAAAAATTGCATGCAGTAATCGGTTACCCATTTATGGTAATCGGTTACCTCAAAGTAATAGTGTTTTCCTCTTTTTTCTGAGTTATGGTAACCGGTTACCCAGACAAAAATTTTGATTTTCTCTTTATTTTAATGCATGTTTACACATATTGCCTTGTTAATTGTAACTCCTTTTATGAATGCTTTGCAAGGTAAATTATTAGGCCTTCAACCTTTAATTAGCACATGATTATTGGTTGAAGGGTACTTTATGCAAACACGTGTTAGTGAAAGTTTGCGTATGATGCACAAATGCTATTATTCTTGAATAAATCTTGTTTCGTGTTGGTACCCTGGCATCACACGAATGTGTCTGCTACACATTCTGCTGTGTGATTGTTGTTTCATATACTGTATGAAAAGTGTTTCGTGCAGGTGTATTTTGATATTCGGATGTGTCCGCTACACATTCCAATCTTAATTTGTTGATACTTTGACGCTTAGGCTGATGGTATTTTCTTTATTGGTGATAACAACTTGCGAAGTTTTATGGTTTTCTTTGTTCTTGCTTATCATCTACGGATCATTATCCGTTTGGTACATTTCCCTTCTATTTTTATTCCTGCATCTTATTGCTTTCTAGCGATCATGTCAAGTAGGGTTTTTGTCGTTTTCCTTGCCATGAGAAGTAGGAATAGAGATATATGACGGGGATTTCCCTTGTTGATCATGTCAGGAATCCCTCTAGTTTATTTAAAGACCCATTTAGGGCAATTTCGTATTATGTGTGCTAAGTATGCTTGTCTAAAATCCTACCTTTGAAGTAGGTATTCAGTAGGTGTGTTTACATTTGTGCTCGCATATTCCCCCACCCCAATAAGTCCTCAAAAAGAGGCGAGCGGAAAGGGTTCGCAATCGACCCCGCATTTTTTCTGTGTCATCCTTAGCGCACGTTGTACATTAACGCTTTGGGTTTGTGTAGATCATGTGTATCGAGTCATTCAAGTGTAAAAGGGTTTTATAATCAAACCCTCACACTTTGTCAGGAGTTCGCAATGGTCATTGTTAACACTTCGCTACTCACTTGTTTGCTTCGGGTGATCCGCTCCCCTTAGCTAAAGTAATGCTTTTCTTTTTTATTTCATCTCAGTATCCCAAGTGTTTTCTTAGGGTGATCTGATCCCCTTAGATAAAGCATTTTCTCTTCATTCCCCCATCCCCTGAGTCAGTACACCTTGATTGTGTGCTTTTACCAAAGCACTTGTTTGTATATACCATGCTCCCTTAGGATGTTCTTGTTTCTTTCCCGATTCGAGGTAGACCTTAGGATATTAATCCGTACATGCTAACGTAGGGTATAAATTTCCCTTTCAAAACTCAACCTTAGGATCAATCATTGTATGATAACATTAGGGATTAGATTTAGGATAGTCCCCCTTAGATGTTTTTCTTTCTTTTGCATCCTTGCATTAAGTCTAAAACTCTTTTCTTGAATAATGCATAAAACATCTAACAACTTTCAAATCCTTATTTAAGGTAAAAAAAACACTAAACAACTCCTTTCTTTTTGCCAATCGACTTTTCTCTTCTAAGAGCATGTTAGTTCCTTTCCACTACAGGTCGTAAGTCTCCAAAGGTCGAGCAGTGTTGGAATTATTGAATTTAACATTGTTCAACTAAAAAACACAAACCCATCAAAACAAATGAGCCAAATTGCGGGTGCTCTGATTCCTAAAAAAGGATACGTAGGCAGAGGCTTCTTGTGGGGCCTAATTAAGCATATCTTTGTAAAAATATCTTTCTTTTCCCCATATTTTCTTTTCCTTTTCTTTTGCATGCATTCCTCTTTCTTTTTACTTTAAACCTTAGACATATACTTTGGCCACACCCATTAGATTAGAACAACAAGAGTGGATACCGTAGAGTACTACGGGCATGTGGGGTGCTAATACTTTCCCCTTGCGTAACAGACTCCCTTACTTGTGTCTCTTGGTTGTTTGACCTTGATTTCACCCTTCTCAGGTTTACTCGACATTTACCTTTCCCTTCTTGTGGGATAAAAAATGTTTGATGGCGACTTCATTTATTTCATCTCGATGATTTGTTCAGTCGGTTGTTTCAACTGGCGACTTCCTTGGGGAAGTTGACCAAATGTTGGTCCATCTAGGAGTCGTTCCTAGCTCTTGTTTTATTTTCTTTAGGTTTTTATTTTTATGCTTTAATTTTATTCATGTGTACATGATTATCTGAGCATATAATTGCATTGCATTGTCTTCCATATTGTTATTTGTTGTGCTAGATTTTGGTTCGCCTTGACTGGGCGGGTGTTACTATTGAGGTAAAAGACCCAGTACCCAGGCTAGAGTTCACTATCTAGGAAACTTAGGAATTGAGTAGAACATGACGGCTATTGGACGAAGGTCCTACCGGCGTGGTCATGTCGTATACGCTTAGATGAGGTTCAAATGGGGTGTTATTATCATCCATGTCTGTGGCTTGATGATAGTGCTTCCGGACAGACCCATGATTTTGAGTTACCATAGGCTTGCCCTGACCTAGTCTTTACCCGTGAGTGGAGGGATAATCTTTACAGGTACAAATGGTGACTTTGTTCTGATAGTGATCTTGTTCTATTAGTGATAGTATTCCGCTAGTGACTTGGATTTATGTGGTTTATGTTCTGAACTATTGATCATGATATTCTCGGCACATGTAGAAACAGAACAGTAGATTTCTGATGTTGGAAACCTTGATTCCATGAATTATTGCACCTTGCATCATGGCATATTTATTTTTACAAAATAAATGTAAGAAAAATATATATGTCTAAAAAAGGTTAACCTGCATTTGCATTTCATTTCCAGGGTGTTTCATAGTAGTTGTATGTATCAAAAATGGCAAACAACCATGATGTTGTCAAGAGAGACACTAGAGACGTGCTCAGTTACAAGTTTGGTTCTTCTAGTTGGCCTCGTTTGAAGGAGTTGAGTAGGGTGGTGGTTCATTTGAATTTTCAAGCCTTTAGCAAATAGTATGTCGATCTTTTTCCTTTGTTGGATGTTCAGTTGGAGGATAGAGCTCTTCACACTTTGTTACAATTCTATGATCTGGAACTGCGATGTTTCACATTCCAGGATTACCAACTACCGCCGACTCTTGAGGAGTATTCTTATATTTTGGGGATCAAAGTCATTGATCATATTCCCTTTTCCTTCATTCCAAGTGAACCCGATTATGATGCCATCGCTAAGGCACTTTATTTGAGCCTGAGCGATGTGAAAGGCAATTGGAGTAAGAGAGGTACAACCAGTGGTCTCTCTGAGGATTTTCTGATATGGAAAGCTAGAGAAATGGCAACTAAGCATCAGTGGGTTTAGTTCAACGCTCTTCTAGCCGTTTTGATTTATGGCCTAATTATTTTTCCTGATGTTGAGAAGTTGGTAGATCTGGCAGCTATTTGCATGTTCATGAATCTGAATCTGGTACCGACTATCCTGGAAAGCACTTACTTTGCTATCCATTTCAGGTATGGTAAGAAAGGAGTTGTGGTGTGTTGTGTGCCATTTTTGTACAAATGGTTCATGTATCAGCTTCGGACCAAAGGACCGTTTGTGGATACCCTGAGCACTCATACATGGGCCATGAAGCTCATGGCTCTCACATATTTTAACATAACCTAGTATAGGCATCGACTTGATAATATTGGAGTTATAACCAGTTGTGGAGGTTTCTCAAACTTCCCTCTCATAGGGGCACATGGAGTAATTAATTATAACCCGGTTCTTTCCCTACACTAGCTAGGGTATGCTATGCGGAGTCCTCCTAAAAGCAGCAAAATCAGTGAATCAGTATTTTGCAAGAAATGGGAAGATCCAGTGATGCTAAAGAGGTTAGTGATCGCTTGGACCAAAATCTTCAGAAAAGGTAAGGATTTCTTTAGCAAAAGGAGCTGACAGCCTATGGACCTTATGTTGAGTGGGCCAAAGATTGGGCGAGAATACTTCGGTTACCATTTTCAAAGGAAGATCCCTTGTACCTGCAGCTTGACAAGTTGCAGCATGATGTTCCTAAAGAACACTTTTACCAAGTGCAAAGCGAGAATCTGCATCTTCGCATTGACCTAGAAGCCAAAGAGATGGAGCTTTATTTTCTAAGGGAAGATAAGAAATATGTAACACGCAAACTCAAAGAATCTGAGAAATATGATACTTCTAAGAGATCTAGAGGTGAAGACAACTTTATTGCTTTTGAAGACCACAAAATAGTTGTTGTCTTTATTGAGAAGAAGTACAAGCAGAGTTGTCGAGATGGCAACATACTACGGGCATCCAAGGCCGAAGCGAAAAAAGTATTTTGAAGCCAAAATCAAAGATTTAGAGAAATAGCTTCGAGACAAAGATGCTCAGCTCGAAGCAGAAGTCAACCAAAGACTCCTAGCAGAGGCCCATCTCAAAGGGCTTGGTACTCAATTGTCACAGGCCATCAGAGAAATCGTTAGGCTCAAGGGCTAGATGTGAATATGATGTTTCCAGGCTATGCAGAATTTGATGTTCGTTTGTTATTTCATTTTACTGTAAAAGACCACCGCCAGGCTTGTTGGTTGGGGTTTTATTTTTATGTCATATTTTGACTGATAATCTTGTATAAACTTAGTCGGCTTGAGGTATTATTTATGCTTTTTCATTTATTTTTGTCTATCTCTTATCATGTTGTTTGATGTTTTTGGTATATGACAAAATTTTGGGGCGCCCTGGAAATGATAAAAAATTTCATGCATGATCATTCATTCATGCATATCATATCATGACAGTTGATTCGCACATGTTTTCTTATCTTCGATCTCAGTTTTCTTTTCATAATTTGATACTACAAACTCCCACCGTTACAACACTTGGAGTAATTCCAGAAGAAAAATGGAACAAATTCAGGCAGATGTTGTTGCTATTGGTGTCAAGATGGATAATCGTGTGGACTAGCTGATGGAGATTATCTAGAATATGTCCCGTCAACAGGAAGAGATAAGAGCCTTGATAGTGAGGCATGTTGAGACTGTGAATAATAGGCGAAACTCGAAATATGGATCTGAATGAAAATATTGTTCTGAGTCTTCAAAATGGTCAAGTTGTGAATCTTGGTATTCCTGCTTGTAATCAAGGCATGCTTGTGGTCCAAGTGGTGGGAAATAATCCGCCTCCACCCACTCCTACTCGGCAGCATGATGAGCAACAGTTTGTTCAACCAAGGCCTGTGTATATTTTTGCTATTCAACTCGAACAGGAAAATTATGATGACTACATGTCTCATGCTGATGAGCCAACCAAAGCTGACAAAAATCTGTGTATGCTTGAGGAGCATATGCGGGCGTTTGAAAATTAGGGTGTTATGGGCCTTAACATGTTTGATTTGGGTTTGGTCCTGGGAGTGAAGGTTCCTCCAAAGTTCAAAGTTTTGGACTTTGTCAAATACAAGGGCACCTCTTGTCCTAGGACACATGTCAAATCCTATTACAGGAGGATGTCCATGTATTCCGATGATGAAAAGCTTCTTATGCATTTTTTCCAAGACAGTTTAACTGGTGGGTCACTTGAGTGGTATATGTAATTGGATGGTACTTTTATCCATACATGGAGAGAGAGATGGTTGAAGCCTTCGTCCAACACTACTTATACAATACTGATATGGCACCCATGAGAACCCAACTACAAAATTTATTACATAAACAAAATGAATATTTTAAAGAGTACGCTTAGAGATGGTGTGAGATGGTTTCTAGGGTTCAACCCCTCATGATGGAGAGTGAAATGGTGGATATGTTCACTGGAACTTTACAGGGGAAGTATTATACGAGTTGTAGTACTTCCAGTTCATTTGCTGAAATGGTGACATATGGGGAAAGAATCGAAATCAGAATCAAGTTAGGAAAGATCCAGGACGTGGTTGCTGGAAATAATGCTAATGCTGGTAACACCAAGAAGTCATTTGGTGGAAACCAGAAGAAGAATGAGATGAAGCCAGTAAGGTTTATTCTTGTAAGGGGAAAGGTAGATTCCAGGATATAGATCACCAGATTGCTGTTGTGACAATACCAGTTGTCGCACCTTAGCAGCAAACATATGCTCCCAGGCAGGGCTACCAGCAAAGGCCAAAACTGCCTCCCAGAAAATTTGACATAGTTCCTATGTCCTATGCAGAGTTGTTGCCTCAGTTACTAGAATTGAATTTGATTGAGAAGCGTATAATGCATATCAATCCAGAAAAGCTACCGCCCATTTTTAATGCTAATGTTAAATGTGAGTTTCATTCTGGAGTAGATGGGCATAACATCGAGAATTGCATAGCGTTCAAACAAAAGGTGCAACACCTATTGGAGTCTCATGCTATTAATTTTGGGCCAGTACCTAATATTACTAGTCAACCTTTGCCATCTCATAGAGGTGCCACTGTCACTTCCCTTATTGGAGATGAAAGCTTGAATCTTGTTATGGATGTGGATTAGCTGATAACACCCCTCTCATTCGTGAAAGAACAGTTATCGCAGAAAGGTATGTTTTTAGGATGTGGGTTTGATTGTGAAGGTTGTTTGGTACAATGAAAGGGTTTCCAGTGCTTGAGGGATGCAGTCCAAGATTTAATTACCAAGGGAGTTCTGCAGTTCAACTTCCCAGTTGCTGAGACTAGAATTGGTAAGAATGAGGTTGATGTGATAATTATTCCTTTCAAGGCAAGGACCATTCAAGTACCTGTTATGATTCCAAATCCTGTCAGAAAATCACCTATAACCATCACTATATCTGGGCCAGTATCATATGCCAGCGACAAATCAATTCCTTGGCATTACGGTGGTGAATGTTATTGACAAGGGAATAAACTTGCTACTCAGAAATCCAAATATGGCAAGTTTGAAGAAGAGAAGTCTAAGATTCATGACATTTTTTATGAAAGTAGGATTACCCACAGTGGTCGGATTTTCTCTCCACCAGAACAATCTAAAAGTAGTGTAGATGCCGCAGCTAAGGCTAAAGGAAAGCAGATTTTGGGTAGTGGCAAAAAACCGGGGCAAAAGCCTCATGTTCCTATTTTGGATGTCGAGATGGCTAAAGATGTGACTTAATTGATGAGGTACAAAAAGAAAAGTGACTACAATATTATTGACCAATTGAGCCAGACGCCTACTAAGATTTTGATTCTTGCTTTGCTTAAGGATTCGGAGGCCCACAGAAATGCATTGATAAAGCTACTGGGAACTTCTTTTGTTCCTCAAGAGATCTCAGTAAATCAATTTTAAGGGATTGTGAATAGTATTTCTGCGAGTAATGGACTCAGATTTACAGATTTTGATTTACCCTCCATGGATATTGAAAAAACCACTTTATCTCGTGTGCTGGTTGATACAGGATCCTCTCTCAACGTGTTTCCTAAGTTCGCTCTTATGAAGCTTGATTATGAAGGGGTCATGTTTATTGTCAAGGCGTTTGATGGGTCTAAAAGGACCGTGTTTGGGGAAGTTGATTTACCTATTAAGATAGGTCCCCAAGTTTTCGATGCAAAATTCTTCATTATGAACATTAATCCTTCTTATCGTTGTCTGCTTGGCTGTCCATGGATTCATGGGGCCAGCGTTGTCACTTTAGTCCTTAATCAAAAGTTGAAGTTCTTGTTGAATGGAAAGGTGGTCACCATTTGTGGTGAGGAAGATTATACTGTCATTCACTTGAGTACCTTTCACTATGTTGAAATGGAGGGAGAAGTCCATGAGACTCCATGCCAAGCATTTGAACCGTATAGATTTTCAGAACCCCTCGTCAAGAGGTTAAGAAATTAGAGGTCCTCGTATCATCTTACCGTCAAGCACAAGCAATTGTTCAATCTGGTCATCCTGAAGGTTGGGGCAGAGTGCTGAATCTCCCCACACAGACATACAAGAAAGTTTTAGGTTTCGTGGCTGGTCGAAACATCCCCTTTTCTGCTCCTCTTAAGGTTCAAGGTATGCCTCCACTGATCCAGTTTGTCAGTGGTGGTGTTATACATGAAAAGGCTCATGCTGTGAGCGTGGAAGGGGATACTGATTGTGAAATGGATAAATGAGTTCTTCCTACTGTTTCAGGTAAACAGCTTTCTAATTGGTTTGCCGAAGACGTCATCAAAGTCACCCGTTATGAAGAGTAATTTTCTCTTATTTTTCATTATGCAATAATTCCCACGTTCTTCCCAAGACATAGTGAACATGTTGTAGGGCCGCGATGTCTTTTTTTTCAAATTTATCATCAATAAAGGACATCTTTTTGCATTCAAATATTTTGCAAACTTTCTTTTTTAAAATTTTTTGCCAATGTGTTTTTTTTTCTTTTTTTAATCTAATACTAAAATAAAATAAAATCAATCATGCAAAAACAATCCCTCATTAATCCCGGGTAATGTCGGAAACGGTTCTATTATGGCTCATTATGACTTTGAAAATCCAATCTATCAAGCTGATGAGGAAGCTGAAGAAGATTGTGAACTTCGTGAAGAGCTATCCAGATTGTTGAGGCAAGAAGAAAAGATCATTCAGCCGCACCAAGAGATTTTTGAAGTGATTAACTTGGGTACCGAAGAGAAGTCAAGATTGGGGCTGCTTTAGAAGACAGCGTCAAGCCATGATTGATTGAAATGCTTCGTGAGTATGTGGATATCTTTTCTTGGTCTTATA